TTTCAAAGGACCTTCTTTTCGACTGCATGCAAAACCATACTACTTATGTAGCGTGCGTTTTTCTCATTGATTTTTGATGCTCTTAAACATTCAATTATAGTTCATGGTAAATATGCATAAAAATATTCATTCCTTTGTTTATTCGGTAGACAATTACGTCTTCTTTCAAACTTTTACTCAAAGGAAGGGTATAATTCGGTTTTAAAAAACTTTTTCAATTCCCGAATAATTTTGAACCCGCTCTGCCGTTACACTTGGATTCAGGGTTTCCAATCCACGAGCCGTTTATTTTTCGCGTATGGAAAACCAAACATTTCTCTACGGTAATAAAGGGGGACCAAAATATTTCATAAAATTTAGCAGTGGATTTGTTCCATATTGTTATTATTACAAGCCACAGTGGTAAATGAAGAGACATGGGGCCTTATGTGCAGCCATTTCACGATATTAAGAAAACTCACAATTAGAAACTTCGTTGAAACCCAATCATACCCCTCCTTCGAGTACAAACTTGAAAGAAGACTTCATTTTCTACCGACTGAACAAAACAACGAATATTTGTATGCATGTTTTTCATTAAACATTATTGAATTTTCAAGGGCATCGTAAATCAGTGAGAAAAACGCATGCCACATAAGTAGTCATTTTGTTTCAGAGTGTGGTTTTGCATGCATTTGAAAAGAAGTTCCTTTGAAAGCTGGCACGCTGTGGTAACTGGACATTTTTAGAATTATGCTGCATGATGATTAGTTTTACATACCTACTTAATTAACCTTTTCGAAACGAAAACGCATGTCAAAATTTCGGCTGACAGTTCATGTGTTAGCCCACCTAATGTATTAATGGGTATTCTAAAAAAGTAATTTCAGGTGAACGGGAGAGCGACCAACCTCAAAATCTCTCCAACGTGCCAGTTTTTTCAGGCAAAATGTTTAAACCCCTGCAACATTTGACATCCAAAAGCTATTTCTTTCTAATAAAAAGTGGCGCCGTCGTTGGGTCTTCCTCCCCAGAAACAAAACTTACGTCCCATAAACCGTCAAACCCGATAGAAAGCATGAGCATTAATGCATTTTCAGCGGGAATCCCTATTTCATATGGCATAGTCAATCAGTTATTTGGACCTTTACTTCCGAGTTCATCTGTAATGCTATTCGGGGTAGATAAATGGCCTGTCTGAAATGTGCTCCTGTTATTTAAATAGAAGGTATCGGAGTTTTGACACGAACTACACCTGTCAACAACAATTTATTTAGTTCCACTTAGTCGCGAAAACCAGGTTGAAATTTTAAAGGCTCGTCCATCTAACCCAGTGAGTAGGTAGTCGTCAACAGCGGTATTTGGTGGGCATTTGCGTCCACTTTTTGTTGCCGCATTATGCAGGGGAAATCTCGCTCAAACACACAAAACTGATTTCAAATGAGTTACTTTGACCCAACTATAAAACATTCAGCGGGATTCGAACCCATGACAACAAGGGGAGGATTTAGTACAGCCGACGCTCTAACCATTTGAGCTACGAGGCCCCACTCGACGACGCGAGTTTAATCACATTTGGGTCAAGTTTACCCGCCAAACCTACTGCAACTGCTGGAATCCACCAAATATGATACAGTATGTTGACTGCCCAAGCAGGATGTCCTAAGTAATACATCTAGAATCCACCAGCTGACTACCAGGCTCACGTAATCCAGAGGTGTTTTGGCAGATTTCAAATAATTTACTTTGACCCAACCTTGGGCAGTCAGCTTACTGTATCAGATTCGGTGGATTCCAGACGTTGTAGTAGGCTGGGCGGGTGAGCTTAACTCAAATTTGATGAAACTCGCGTCGTCCGGTGGCTCTCGTAGCTCAGATGGTTAGAGCGTTGGCTATACTAAAGCCTCCCCTTGCTGTCGTGTGCTCGAATCTTACGAAGGCACCGAGTTTTTCACAAGTGGGTCAAAGTGAAAACTAATTGTATTTCCCCTGATTAAAACGTGGACGGAATGGCCTGTAATGAACCTAAAACTGCATATGACCTAAAACCGTTCTGAGCTAGATGAGTACCATAAGTACTATAAGTGGTGTGTAGTTGATAGAGCGTAGACGATTTCCTTCCACAAATACATGTACCTCAACTACTTCCTTTATAGCTAAGCTTATTCATCCACAGAGCGCCTATAGTATAATGTGCGCAAAAAAAGTGTTCACAAGTGGAAAATATTACGTATGCTGAAGATACAACCCCGGTCAATAGGAATTATAATTCCTCCTCATCTCATATAAGCAACATGCATTAAAGTGCACTACACATTACCTACCTGATTTCATCGCTGATGTAAGATGTTCGTGCTTCCTGAAAATAGTTTCAGAAATGACACACTTCTTAAAGAAGTTTTGGGTACGATGACATTTCATTGAACTCTCATAATTAAACGACCTGGCCGTCTTCTCTGTTTGCAAAATATACTACTTAGACAGTAGTTATGAACGCAATCACCGTCTTCATTTGTTCCTCCTTAACTGTGCACAGGACTTATCGCTAAAGGTGCGTTGTAATTATTTTTTCTGTCTTATGAAAAGCCCACCTGGGTGTCACGACACGTTGCAATGAGTGAGAACCAAATTTTATACCCTTGGAGAAGCACTGATAAACTCGAGCATAGTAAACAGCACGAGTATTAATTAACAGTCCAGAAGCCTCCCAATTACAGGCATATAAAGTTAGAGTATTCTTTTTTAAATGGGGTTAACGATAATTCCAACTCGGAAAGTGTGTTAACAAATACTTGTTCATATTAACCAGAGAACATAATTGAGGTAGTGCAGGTAGTGAAGGCTAACGAAAAAATCCCGTACTCAGTTTTTGGTTTATTTTTAAAATGCAATTTACACAGGTGGTCAGGAAGGTATCCTACTGAAAGCTAGTTCTGCAACCTTGAAAAAAAATACTTAGTATTGCAGGACGGTGGCTAAGCCAGCAATAAGCGTTTCAGTGCACACATTCCAAATTGGTAGCGTTTGTCCACATCGTCAAAATTCGTCCAGTTTTGCAGGAGGTTTTAGCAAATTTCGTAATCACCTACAAGAAGAGGCTCTAAATCGAGTTGGAAATACCACCAGACAGGTCTTTATGACAGACAGAACGATCTGTTGCAGAGAGATATCGTCTTTTTCACTTGATGTATTGCTTCATTTCCACTAAGTTCGCACTAATGAACTGCATCCGATTAACACGCCAATAATCAACAAGGATGGCGAAATATCGGGATTTCGTTACTCGAATTAGGATGAAAAATCAATAAGTATATCAAACACAATTTACAGGTATTAGTGCGGCAGCTGATAAGTATGTTAATAATGTAGTGGCGTGAAAACTCTCCCCCCAAACGGGCCACGTGGTAGATGCGCTGGACCAACACGGAGGCCATATTGGATTCTGGCAGGCGTCATCGGCTTTGCGCACTGTAAAAAGTGCCAACATTCCGGGGTGCGGTGATGTACCCGGTTCCCGGCGTACGTCGAGCATAGTAGGACCCTGCCCCCCTTTGTTGTGGTTAATCAAAAACCTGGTTATTTGTTGTGCGGACCAGGGGGTGTGGAGTAGAACGCCAAGGTACGAGCACGACCGTGCCATCCACCTGCGTCTTTCACCTTCTCTGATTTTCTTGACTCTGTTTTGACGCCGGGTCCAGGTGGAGGAGGAGAGAGTATGGTAGATGCTGTGCAAGTCTACTATCACTGTAAACTAAAGTTCTCGAAGAAGTTCCCGTCCCTGCTCTCATCCTGCGGCGGAACATATGGCGCACATAGTCGAAAATGACGGTCGAACTTTGGATATGACAACTACATTCTATCAGTAGCATGTCTCTTGCGTGTTCAGCACCCTTATCCGCGGTCATCTCCGATGATGGATTCGAGTGAAGATCTGAAACGTCTGACGATTAAAGGTCTTGTTCCAGTGGTCGCAACTCTGTCTTCTGAGGCGCTTCTTGCATCTCGCCTCTTTTCTTTTCTAGGAAACCCCTATACATTCCCTTTTCTGACACGTACTCAACAGTTTCCCCCAAAACGCCGCGATGGATACTGTTCCAGTGAGAGCGCAACAGTCATATCAGCGCGAGCTTATCCCAGCGCATACCTCACTCTTCCTCGTTCGGAACTCCTCGTATTCCAGTGCCCTAGCAAAGTCAACAGAACTAGTAAAATATGTTCGTGCAGGGGCAGACAAAGTTGTACCACACGGCTGCATAGGCTATACTCATTCTGATCTATGGCCCACACTCATGAGACCTCAAAGAGAACATTTTTCTCTGCCATAAAGTTCACATTGAAGCGGAGTCTTTACAGTCCGATCTGCGTTGCAGGGGTGGATCGAGCTGCGTCGTCTGTTGAAAAGCCTTCATGACACGACTGACTGCTGGTCGTGATATTATAAATGCGCCTTCGATTGCTCATTGTGAGGAAGATCGACACTCGATTTCAGCTGATCTGGTAGCCAGCTCTACTCCTTATCACACACCAGCGGAAAGCCAGAGCCAATCAGATTGGAGGTGGAGCTGGCCGCAGCAGCTTACGTGGCGTCAACTCACAGTTTAATGCGTGTGGTGAGGTTCAGATCGCATAGAACTGCGAGGTGGAACAAAGGCCCCCTCAGGTGGAGTCACGGCTTGCGAATGCATATGCTCTTCTGGCCGGGAAATTGAAAAACCTCGGTGATTCCTGCTGAACTGTTTTCAAGCATTTGAATATTCGATGACGCCGAATCAGAAGTGGTCCTTGTTGTAGACTGCTGGTCAAATCTTGATCAAATCTCTAGGGAAACATTTCTGGTCCAATAGATGCCTGGTCCCAGCCGGTAATTTCGAAAATCTCTTGTTTGCGCAGAGTCTAAATCACGGACTTCTGCCGTATCCCCGCGGTGTATAGAAGTCGGTAGGAAGAAAAGAAATCACTTTTTATTCACGCATAAAATCAAAATAAGAGACGTTCAGTTGGGGATTCAGGAAATGAACCTATTACTGACCAACGGAAGCATCGGAAAGAGACCGCAGTTCCACCTGTAAAACAATATACGGCAAAATGTACAGACCCACATGAAAGGGTTTCTCATAGGTCGCATGAAATCGATCCTGCTACCTACCTTGAGAGTTTCAAACTTTTCCGCGACCTCTGCATATTCCCTGGCAAGTTGAGCTGTCTGCAGACGTGCTTCCTTTAGCTCAGCTGCCGCGAGTTTCTTTTCTGTCGTGCAAACATAAGTAGGACTGGGAGATAAATTAATCATGAGTAAATAGGCATGTTGCATTTGTGCAGCATTATCTATGATGGAAGGGCGTTGGTAGATCAGGCTACAGAAAGTGAATGCCCGGGTGTACCTTGGAGACCGGTCTAGAGTCTTCGCGGGCAGTTGCATAACGACTAGTAATGCCTATGCAGTGATGGGGCGTGCCGACAAAGACTAGCCGCTATGCGACTGTCCGCGTGGGCTCTAGATTGCACCACAAGGTGAAAAGCGACAACTACTAACCGTAACCTAAACGGCGAGCTTCCTTCGCCACAGTTAATATTCACGATCACAACTGAGGAGACAACGGGTCCCTGACTTAAGGGCGAAACTTTGGGCTACTTAACGCTCTATAGTCAGAGGATCCGGTTTCAAATCTCAGATCCCGTAAACCTGGAGTTGGGCATAACTGACTGTTGACGGCTAAAAAGCCAGAAACGGCCGTCCGCCTCTCTCATTTCTTTACCCGCTCCTATCAACTTTGTAGGTTCAATGACTCCTCGTAAAGCTCCAAATGCTTAGCAATAAATCCAATTTTTCGGTGGATTTATGAAACTTACCTTCCTGTGCAACTGCAATCTGTTCCGTTAATTTGGCGATTTCATCCTCTGAGTTGTCAGATCTGGTCTAGAATCAGGGAGACATAGTGCAATGTAATTATGAATGAGAAACGGATTTGTCTGCTACAATTCGAATTCCATTGCACGCTCCCCCTCCAGCCTAAATTATGACCACTCTAAGAAAACTTGTAGGAGTAAAATCGAAAGCACTTTTCTCCTGTGGTCCTTCATTCAGCGCAAACAAACTTTTTGACAATTTTCAGTGAAAAGATGGCAGTTTACCGTCTTTTCAGCAAAGCAGACGTTGTTTTACAAGAAAACGTCATCAGTTTTTTATGTCTCAATCGACTAATTTGCCGGAAATCGCATAAGCACGCGAGCCTTAGCGCACACTGGATCCTTTGGCTTCGTAAAGTAAAGTAACATCGAAAGAATTGACAGTGGTCGTACTATGGCAACCACTCAACAGAGTATAAAGTATCCAATCAGAGGCCGCTTCGGTAGACCGACTGCCAATACGCCGGTAGGAGGGAGGGGACTCGCTCATTTCCTCAAGCCGTATATTTTCCACGTGGGGAAAATCATATATTTCTTTACGGTATTAAGAGGAGGCCGTATGAGTTTCATAAAATTTAGCAGTGAATCTGAACCATATTGTCAACTTTACGAGCCACATTAGTAAATGCAGAGACAGAACTTTTATAGACGGCCTTTTTACGGTATTAAAAAATGTCAATTTAAAAATTTTCTTCAAAATGAGCAAAAGAATGAATATTTTTCTGAATGTTTTCCATGAAATATAAATGAATTTTTTAGGGCATCGAAAACCAATGACAAAAATCCGTGCAACTTAAGTAGGTATTTTTTGTAGAGTATGGTTTTTGTATGCAGCTGAAAAGAAGTTCACTCGAAAGCCGGCATCCTGAGGTAACCGAGTCATTTTAGAGAATTATACTGCAAGACGATTAGCTTTACAAGTCTACTTAATTAATCTTTTCGAAACGGAAACGCATTTAACAATTTCGGTTGGTATTTCATGAGTTAACCCACCTACTCCAGGTATTTAAGTTTCCAGTCAGGCTGTGTTGGACCTACCAATGATTGCTCCTTGGCGACTTTCCCCTTTCCTGCGGTGGAAATAACTGATGTAGGGCTTTCGAAGTTCGGCATCTCCGAGAATGTCTGCTGATCAGCTAACATGCGAGCCTGGTCAGCAATGAGCTTCGTCAGACGGTGTATCACGCTGTAACAAAAGAGCAAGACTTTGGACTGTGTGCTAGTTCTGGATGACCGCAAAAATAGAAGGCCATCTCCTTAGAACACATTAAAATGTCTAAAACAAACAAGAACAAAGCAGACTGCGGTAGCCGTCTTGGACCCCTTGTCTGAGCGAAGGATGTCGTCGCAGCAAGATTTTCTGTACCCAAAAGACCATGGGCCGGTAGTGCAGCTGCTGGCTATTTGCACCCTATAGCAACGGAACTGGGGATCAACTTTCCAGACTTGCCGGGGTCTGGCCGTTTGATGAGGGCGGAAAACCGGAAACTGCCGCTCCGGTCGTTGTAGAGAAAACTTTCGACCACTGGTTCCTCGTCGCCTTACCAGTTCCCATGACAAATCGAAATCGTAAGTCAGCCTGCAACTAGGTCCCATGGATGAATTCGGTTGCATCGCGAATGCGCTATTTTGTCTGGCCAAACTGCTAAGAAACAATGCGGTCTGCACAATGTTCTGAACTGACGGCAACGAGTGCGAGGCTCGTGTACAACCGACACGGTCGCCGACCGAGAGCCATGAGTCTAGTGACATTTGCGTCAAGTTACTTGCCGAAACCACTATAAAGTATGGAATCCACTAATTAGGACGCAGTAAGCTGACCGCGCGAGCAGGATTTCTCCATCAATTAATCTAGAGACGGCCAGACGACTACCGGACCCACTTAGTTAGTAGGTGTTGGCTTTACTCAGGCCTTGTACTTGCAGTCGCGGATTTGAACCCCCGTAGAGCTGGCTGAGGTTTTCGCAATTTCATCAGATGAGATATGCATGCTTCCTAAAAGGTCAATCAAAGTGTTAGTTGTCTTGAGTCCGCTTTTTCAAGATGGAAATTAAGATGGATTGTTATGCTTGTCAGGCGCGTTGAGTTGAGAAGTGTGGCGGATCGCGAATGATGGCTGAAAGACGGCAGTGGTGGTTTTAGCGGCGGCGGCGGCTACAGTCAGATAATAGTTGCATGGCAAGATCTTATTTCATAGCCGTACCTGTTGGGTGTTAGGGATCAGAGGTTAGAGGTTGGAGTTAGGGGTTGCCTACTGCAGGTACGTCTACGAAATAAGATCCGATCGAGTTAGTGCTGACTGTAACAGCTTAACCAGTCAATAGAAGCGAAAGTACGTACTCCCGGACATAAATGAGAAGAATGGGTGGGCACAGGGAATTTTAACCTATCTTTCTAACACGCTCCAGGGTAAAAAAGGAGATATGGTGGCTGGGACAAGAGCTTTGTTCGTCTGACGTTTCGGATCCCTGCTCGAACCCATCATCAGAAACAATAGCAGATACGGGTGCTATTACCTGCAATTGTTTCTTATGATGAGTTCGAGCAGGAATCCGAAACGTCAGGCGAACAAAGCTCTTGTCCCAGCGATCGTATCTCCTTCCTTACGACTGTTTCCTGGGACCCACCTCTTCGCTTCTGTTGACACTCCGGAGTAGTTAAACGTGTTTATGGCGGGAATGACGAGCAGAGACGTCTACCTTTAGGAAAGCACGACCGTAATTTACTCTTTAAACTCACTTCTCGGAGATATTCGATATCTACTGACTACGAAATCGGTGACGAACGCCGTCATTTAAAATTTAGATTAATACAATATTTAAAAATATAATCATTTATGATAATATAATATACATAATATGCGTAAAGATTTGAGTTCCAGGCATTGTTTCGCGTTCACCCTCTCCCGAAGAAGACGAAGAAGAAGAGAGGGCGAATTCATGGGCCATATTGTATTTGAACTGACGTTTCGGAAACTTCCTCCTTTCCATCATCAGAGTAGGAGCAACAAGCACACTACACTGATGAGGGAAACGAGGAAGTCTCCAAAACGTCAGTTCAAATACAATATAGTCCATGAATTCGCCCGCTCTTCTTCTTCTTCTTCTTCTTCTTATTCTTCGGGGGATGGTGAACACGATATGTAATATATAATTTGAAGATGGCAGGGTTTTTGGGAAAAGTAAGAACTTTATTAGTAAATTTTCGAAACTGGTTCCCCAGCTCGTCGTCAGACTTCTGGTTTATGTACGAAAACAGTTGACTATTTAAACCGTATCGAACAAGTGATTCTGTGGTTGGCCGAAGTCTGCGTGGTTGGCCGTGTTGCTTGAAATACCTTTGTGCTTAAACTCATGCTTCATTCAATGGCGCACAAAGTCGCGCGGGCACCCCTTGTGGGAAAATAATTAAAAGAGGCATTTCATGTCTGCCTGGTGACTTTCTTCATCAGAACAGTGCGTTTTGGCTCGACTACCCAGGCACCAAAAACACTCACCTGGCGAAATCTTTAATACGTGAAAAATGTATCTGAGCTTGTCGAAAGATAGCTGAAAAAACATCAGATACAAGTAGCACACAAAAATACAACCACCTTGTCTACACAGCTTGTACACCCTAAGGATAGAGTTGGCTGTCTCGATAGAAAAGGTGTTGTCTAAAAGATCCCATGTACCAGTTGTGATGTCGTCTATTGTGGCCAGACCGAGAAATCCGTCTCAACCCGTATACATGAGCATCAGTTAGCGGTGAGGAGACGAGACCATCTATCCCAGGTGGCAATGCACACACTGGACACCGGACACCAGTTTGCCTGGGAGAACACTCGCATTTATGGCGCCTGCCCAATAAGGAAAGACCGAGAATTCCTGGAGGTAATGCACTCAGATGAGTCATGCATCAATCGGTCTATCGACCTAGATTCCACGTACATATTTCTCAAAGACAAATGGAGGCGAGCGCAGCCATTGCCGAGGGGTTGAAGAAGTATCACTGACGCGCATTGGCGCAGACGTCGGCCAACCACAGAATCATTTGTTCGATATGGTTTAAATAGTTAACTGTTTTCGTACATAGTCCAAAAGTCTGACGACAAGCTGAGGAACCAGTTTCGAAAATTTACTAATAAAGTTCTTACTTTTTCCAAAGAACCTGCCATCTTCAAATTATATTTCTTGTGATGACTGGGTCCCAATACCTAATATATAATTTATGTAATATAATACAAATAATAATATATCGCAATATATAATTATATAATATAGTATGCAATATGTATATAATATATAGCACTACAAATAGGCTGAGGAAGAAGTTCCCCTCATGGAAACCATATTTCCCTTAATAAATGCTCTGTAATATCAGTGCGCGGTTTTCTCCATCGAAAAAAGGCAAGCTTCTGTTGTCATGGTTTCATACAATACTTTAGTATGCTTCTAATGGTCCTAATTCAGACACCTGTTGCGACGCGAGTGATGGCCCGTGCGCAGCAGTGACAGTCTGGTTCTCGGCCAATCACGACTGTCTAAATCAGCCAACCATCTTCAATGCCGACTCAGGCGTACTCTGACTCAAGGTGCTTTGACTCATTCCTCATTGTCACCTGAGTCGCGGGGCGTGCTCTCTCGTCCAGGCACCAACTTATTTAAACTGTCGCTCCAGTCTTCCCTTAACTGGCGTCTAGCGTCTTGTCTTTGCATTCGGAGCCGGGTTTTCAGGTCCTGGTGCCTTCGGCTTAAGCTACCGCGATATTAACATCGACTAATGTAATGTATTGATCTATAAAGGTCATGCACTGGATGCTACAGAGAAGTGGGTGGCGTCGACATAACCGCCCCCTCGCTTCTTGGAGTTAGAAATTGACTCCAACCTGTGACCTAGAGATAGACGATCGCTGAAGTGCAATTATCATCCGCGTTTTCATTGGCTGTGCTGATTGCCCCATTGCCGGCTTAGGTCCTGTCGCCGGTGAGCCAGATGGCCGAGCAATCATCACGCCGGCATCCAACACGGGTGATGCCATTTCGGCAATTAACAACTGGCATGCCGACCATCAAGCAATTAGCGCACCAGCGGGCAACAATCCTTGATGACGGGGAGCGCGGTTAATTGCTATAGGTGTGCGATGGCATAGCGACTGCATCCTATAAATACTGCAACTTCCTGTGCACGAGTCACCCTTTTTTGCCACTGTCTCTGATGATGGGTTCAATTGAGAATCCGAAACTTCAGGCGAATAAAACCTTTGTTCCAGCGATCGCCTCTTCTTCGTCTGATCAACTAGTTCCTGGAACTCGCATCTTCGCCTGTATCACACCGATTACTGTTAATAAGCTAGAAATGGCTATTAGCATTGCAAGCAAGGGCCCTTGGTTGAAGCTCCAAGGAGAGAATGGAAAGCGGCATGCACGTCCATCAGTCAAGTTGGATTGGCAAATGCCACCTCCACCTGATTCTGCGTAGTCACCCGACGGGATTTGTACCCACAGATCAGTCGGGTGGTCAGCAGACTGAAAGGCTCGACATCTGCGGTCGTAATAGGACTGTCTAATTAGGGGAAAGAAGTTACGAATGGCTATTTAGCTCTCCCCTATCTTCGTCGATCTTAAATGCAGAGTTACAGAAAAAGATGCATTTTACTTTGGCTTACGCACAAGCAGAGGAAGAGCGCGAGAGCGCAGATGTAGAGGTTCCGCTGGGATTTGAACAGACGCTTCAGGAAGATGGTTTCTGTCTCAGTATTGAAGTCCTCTGGGTGGCTTTTTAAATCCGACAGTGCCGTACTGTTCAGCCACATTTTCCTAATGCTTTCTGAAAAAAAACAGGATCATTTCACGAGAACAACATAGGGATAATTAAGTTGAGAAAAACTGATCGTGGAGATACGAGTAAGTAGAGATGTTGCTGAATCCCTCATGTCAGTTTAATTAGCGACACCGGTACTTATTACGAGCAAACAGAAGTACACCTATGATCAGGGAGACGGACAGGTTCAACGTGCAGATTGCGAAAGATTCTGCAGGATGAGACAGCCTGCATTACTGACCACAAAAGCGATAAGTGTGTCTGGCAGAAATTTCCTAAATTATCGGACCCAGCCGATCTCGTAGCAAACATTTTCGGGTCATGTGGGTCCCGATCGCAGCTGTCTTTTGCGTTAATTTTTCTCACAATAGGCGACTAGCATAACAGAGTTTATGAATAAGCCATTTGCTACTTATCCGTATAAGGTAGGTAATGTTGTTTTTTTCCCTACTTCCCCGTAATGCACTATTCGTCGCCTTGCATCTGATTTTTGCGGTTTATCATGTAATTGGCTGTTTCTTTTCGCAAAGTAACGCATAAGATCATAATATTTGGTGAATTTTGCTTACCAATAAGCAATGCAATGAGTAGGACCAAGCGGGCATTAAAGTAGAATGATCCATTGGAGTATATAATTCTAGAAACGCGCGAATTGAAAATGGCGTTCCAGCTGAAAATGAAAAAGGCATTTATGGATTTAGAAAAATACATCTAGTCATGATATATACCAATTATCAGTTCGAATAGGGCACATGAATAAGTACTTCTCCCTTCCAAGATTACAGGTGGCCTTACGCTAATTTCCCCGGGGGTTAGAATTATGGTTAGCGCAAGGGTTCGGTTAAGACACATGAGTCGGTACTCCCATCCCCCCTCCCCCAGAGATTTCATCTCAGTACCATCTATACCCGAGGGAAGTCCATATACCCACGTTCGACTCTTAATTCTTAATTTAAAACGCTATCCGAAAGCATATACTGTTATAGATTTCTGAATGCTCGACTGAGATTGCAATGCTCGTTTAATACCTGAAATATTTACTGTTGTTTTAGGTTTAGGAAACCTAGATGTACTAGACCATGCATATTTATGGGCGACATTAGCTAATCAATACTAGATCGTTCGGAAAATACTGGGCGATTTTCCTACCCTCTTTTCAAAATTGAAAGTAAATTCTACTTTTGTAGTGTCTCATACGACATTTCGCATGCTTAATAAGTGATGTAAGCTTCTAATAATGCTCCTGTAATTTCTTTCATAGTATAGTTTAGAAGTATATATGCCTCCAGCAATGAATATTGACAAAGAAGGAAGGTGTTTGTGTATTGCAGGAGTTCAAATTCAGTTATTTTGCCTCATACACATCAGCCCACATTAACAGAGCGTGGGAAAAAGGGGCTGTAAGTGATCCAACAGTACAAAGGGGGTTTTATGAATTCCGCATTGAAACTGGAAGTCTTGAAGATTGACAAGTTAGCGGAAAACCATGCGCTCTTGAAAATAAACTTCTGGATGCAATTTTTGAAGAAAATCCATGTCAAATTGTCAGAGAAATGTCTGAGATAATTGAATCTATTATTATTATTACAACGGTGTTCAATCATCCGGTGCAAATAAGTAAGGGAATAAATCTCGATAAATGGGTCTCACATGAGCTCTATGAAAGTCAAGGAGTTCGGCACTTTAAAGGGAGTTCAGTGCTTTCTCTCTATAGGGAACTGTTATGATTTGTTTCTTGACCAGGACAATGGCTCGATGGTGACGAACCTGCAAACATTCCTCAAAACCGAAGTTACATCAGCGATCTGATGGTGTGGTCGATATGGACTATTAAGACTTTCTCGAGGTTAATAAGAACATCCCAGCAAAGGTTTACTGCAGGCAACTCGAAGAAATCCATGTTCACTTGGGCCAATGAGACCTGAACTAGTGAGTGGACTCCATTCAGTTCTGCTCCGCAAGAATGTTCGGCTACATCTCTCCAGTATGCCACTGTAGAAACTCGACGACTTGGGATACGACATTTTACCATATTCTCCAAATTATCCTTTATTTTTTTCGCCTACCTACTACCACTTTTTCCTGCTTCAAGACACTTTCTACGCAGCAAAGCTCCCACGGACAAAACCTCGATAAAAACTGGATTTGTAAGACTTCTTGGCGTAAAAATCAGTGGATTTTATCGACGAGGTATAAAGTATCTTGCTCATCGATGGCAGAGATGCATACGTGTTCAGAGATAATATTGTGTCATATATACTGCAACATATGTAGTGTCACATTTTTCAAAAATGAACGTCTGCTTCTGAAACCGGCCAGTATTTTCCGAAAAACCTAGGAATTAGAGATGAGATTGATTGGGTATTGGATATGCAAGTGTAGGTCAACAGAAAACGTTAGCGAATCCACGCAGCCCTGCAGGCGGTATTGCCTGTGAGATGGTTAGCAAATAGCGCAGCTAACTCTTCGCCATCCGAGCGTTCAGAATGCCCAAATAAAGAGTAAATAGCTCAATCTGCTCTTGATAGTAGAAGTCTAATGTCCGCTAAAAGTTTAAGTAAAGCGAAGTACTGCTGACAACAATGCAATCGGAGAGGAGAAACACGATTAAAATTGAGACTTTTTCTAATTAGCATAGGGGCTCAAACACAAACATGTCACCTAAAAGGTGTTCCTAAAAGACCAGTAATTACTAGGTGACTGCATCAGGACAATGGCTACTGTATTTTGGGGCTCACGTATTGCGTCACGGACACGTGAGCTGTCGTCAGCAGGTGCAACTATAGAAAAAACGTTGAAAAAATGAAGTGCCCTGATAGCCCATATCGTGGTCCAAAGACAGGCGAAAGGACAGATCTCAGGATATTATTGGAAAAATGAAGATAGCCATAACGGTAATCCGAGTCACGAGTTTTTATACTAAGGCAGTTGTAAAGAAGCTCAAAATGTCACGAATACAGTAGCACTGACTGCTAGCTGAGAGGCTGAGAACGAATGTCATGAAAAATTGAGTTGACTACGCTGAAAACTATGTGATATCTTCGTCATAGTCCCAGTCGGTGGCCATCCAAATAGCAAGATTCCCACCGAACTCTGATACTAAACCGGTACCATTTGTTAAGGACGGCGCAAAGTGTACCTCCGATCTGAGCCGGCTAAACAAGTTCGATCGACTTGGTCGCCTGGCTTCCGCCTGGCCTCCAAGGTCGGGCATTTGGGTTCCACGAGAGTAAGGTATCTTTCGGTGTGAGATCTCATTCTGCATCCAATTCCCCTGACATTATGCATCGATGGATACCTAAATCTTTTGAAGACGGGCGCGGAATGAGCTGAAAATTAGTTCAAGTAGAAAATTGCATGAATCTCTTTCAGTTTTATCAGGGAGCTTATTTGCATATCATATGAAGAGACATACACACTGTTGAGACGAACTTTGCTGCGTCGCTGGAAGAGGATGCTTCAGTCACTATGAGCCCATCTTGTGACGATGATGCCCTGGTAAGGGGATCGTAAATTGGGCTAGGTATCTTGTAGCTAAACCGAAATAAACACTAAGTAAAGTAGGTGGGCTATCCCATGAAATATTAGTCGAGATGCTGAAATGTGTATTCAGTTCGAAAGTATTACCAACTACCACGCAGCACAATCCCAAATATTTAAGTCACATCAGGATCCCCGCTTTCTAACGAGCTTCTGCCCGGTTGCTCGCAAATAGTGACTACTTGTGTGGTATGAATTTTTCAAATTAATTGCTGGTGCCCCTAAAATGTAACTTCATTTTATGGGCAAGATCTTACTTCGTAGCCGTACCTGTAAGGGGTTAGGGTTAGTGGTTAGGGTTAGGCGTTGGGGTTAAGGTTACGGATTGGGGTTAGGGTTAGGGGTTGGGGTTAGGCTGGGTCTTGTCAACTGCGGGTAAGGCTACGAAATGAGATCCGATCATTTTATGAAAAAATCACGTAAAAAAATTCTCTTTCTTCTGCACAGTTGGTCGTTAGTCATTTCGTCATATTTTATACTTGATCAAAACGTATCTTTTGATGCTTGAAGTCCTTCTCAATTCCAGAATAATTCCAAACCTGACCTGACAGAGTCTGGGGAGAGTTATCAGTTTGGTGGGGAGGGAGCGAGCTACTAGTGACAGCATTCGTGAACAATATTGTCCAGCTATTAAGGCGCTGATAATCAATGCTGTTGACGGAACCACGCCAACGCCCGACCAACGGACGTCAACGGACGACCAAGCGGCCAATGTGTCAAGGTCGAGCATCTGCCACGGATATGCGACCAGCTAACCTTCATAGATAGGAAGTGGCACGGAAACTGCATCCTGTAAATACTGTAAACCCCCTATCAGTAGTTGCTTCTGATGATGAGGATCGTGAGTATGACTATAAATCGTAGTATGAACCAATGAACAGGTTGTCATAGTGTATTAAACTTACTGACATAGGGCAGCCTACAAAATGAGCTATCCATCAGAATGGGTTCTGTAGACTACGTTTTATACTGCGGTTATCAAAATATGGAGTTGAGTCCGGATGGTGATGAAAAAGACCAAACGGCCGGATGATATCTACCAAGGACTGTCGTCTTAATGATGGTACCGGCTTCGGCAAGAAAAACCTGACGTGTAAAACTGACGGCGTGTTTACAGCACGTGGTTTGCGCGACAGTGAGCGCCTGCATGTGTGAGTGAGCTCGCGTGTGGTTGCAGTTAATTGTCACATGACACATGGTCACACCGAAGTGCAAATTCGTGAGTCACGGCATGGACTTGATTAGACCGCGGATTGGTGATCAGAGGGGTCGTGAACGGGAGCGCCCCTCGGCGTACGTGAAGAGCCATCGGCGTAGGGGTGCGCGAGTGGAGACGAGAGGACCAATGAACACGCTTATCACATCCCACGAGAAACCCCCAGAAGGGCAGCAGACGGTAACCTGGGGGGAGGGGGGAGGAACAGGGAGCATATTTGTTGTCCACCGTCGCGAACTTGCAACAGGTAACCATTATTTCAATTTGAAATGTCAGGTAATGCCTTGCTCCCATCCGGCATTTGACATGGAAATCGTTTAGGTACACTATCCTTCATAGCCCTGGTATCAATCTCTGTCGTTAGCCTCTACTTCTGAGACCATGCTTTGCGAGATCCCCCTCCCCACCCTGAATGTCGGATTTTTCTGGTATTCGTGATCCACAGGAGGCATCCGAGCCATATATTACAAATTTCAAAGGGAATTCATTGGAAATCGGATCAACACACTAGGATGTTTAGTCAAGGTTTTTTTTTCATGGCACGTAAAATATCTGAACAGAAGATGAAGGACGTGTCTGAAGGTACATTGATATGGAAAAATAGTATCAGCATTTCAAAGACGTGGGACTTTACCGTTGCACCGATACAAAGGGGAGCAGTAGAAACGTAACCGCAAGGACTTCACAGTAGAGGAAGCCAGCCGCCAAAGTCCATATCAACTGCATCTTGAGTCTTTATCTAAAATAAGACAAACAGAGTGAATTATTAACTTCGGAAACCTTTGGAAGGCAGTTAAAGTGGTTAAAAGTCCGGATTCTTCGAGGCTTGCGGGGGACCTCCATCAGAGTTATATATCAAAACGGATTCGCCCAAGTTCAGTTGTGGGGTCTATATTCTGACCTTAAATTCCCTTACGGTCTTTTCCGTTCTGGTCCGTGTTTGACTAACCTGCAGTCAGCGACAACAAACTATTGCTTTATATTACGAAAAACTTGGCGGTTGGAGTGCAACAGCGAAATTTTTCACCTCACCTTAGCTCCCGTCTTTATTTTGATTCCTAGGTCGGTCTGCTGAGCGTTGAGACTCGACACAGAACATGACCAGAGACACAAACCTGGGAGCTTGAGATAGGGAATGAACTAAATTGGTGACCCCGACGTAATGCGTGCACGCGACCCACCTACCGGGAGACTGGCCTGCCCGAGTGCTAAGCAGAAGAGAAAAGCCGAGTTGGGGCAGCCACTGCACTATTGTGCGCCGACCCTCGGGCTGCTCGTGATACGCGACATAGCAAGAGTCCTTGCCGATTTCAGTTCATCCAAGCAATAGCCGGGACGGAAAGAAACGCCAGTGATTAACGTTCAAGATATAGTGTCAATATAGTTATGCCGCTGGAATGCACTGACGCAATGAATCTCTGGAGGACTGGGCAGCCCCGGCAGCAGCAGCCAATCGATCGAGCAGCAGTGGTTTAAGCAATGAGGCGTTTTTCCCCGACTGCTCGATTGCCGACTGGTCTCGACCAACAGCTTCGCTCTCGCTAGGCCTCGGGTGGATCTTGTGGCCGGCTGATGTGGCCGTAGATGTGAATTGCAGCTTTCCTTTACACACTGTCGATAGTGTTATCGTGTTATTGACTGACTGTCGGGATTTAACTACAAGCTAGGCCCTTCAAACTGAGCGTGCTGTAGCGCAAATAGACACTCATGGATTCCACCCCGGAATCAGAAACTTCGATTGACGCGATACTCCTGTCATTACAGCAGGTGGGCTAACTCAAGAAATGTCAACCAAAATTCCGAAATGCGTTTTTGTTTCGAAAAGATTAATTAAGTATGGTGGTAAAACTAGTCAGTCTGCGACATAATTCTATAATATTTCAGTTATCTCAGGATGCCGGCTTTCAAATGAACTTCCTTCCGGTAGTATGCAACGACTTAACTCTGTAAAAATGACTAATTCAGTAGCATGCACTTTTCTCATTGATTTTCCATGCCTCTAAAAGTCCAATTATACTTCACTCTTTTGCTCATTCGGTAGAAAATTACGTCTTCTTCAAGTTTTATACCTGATGAAAGAGTATAGTTCGGTTTTCAAAATCGTTTCCAATTTCCGAATAATTTTGAACCCGCTCTACCGTTACAGTTGTATTCAGCGTTTCCAAACTACAAGCCGTATATTTTCCGTGTACGGAAAGCCATACATTTCTCTAGGGTACTAAAAGGGGACCATATGGATTTGATCCATATTGTTAACTTTACAAGTCACATTCGTAAATGCAGAGAGGTGACGATTTATGAACGGCCATTTCACGGTATTTAAAAGTCCCACAAGTAGAAACTTTTTAAAACCGAATTATCGCCCTCCTTTGAGTATAAACCAAGAAGAAAACGTAATTATCTACCGAATGGGCAAAAGAGTGAAACATAATTGGACTTTTAGGGGCGTCGAAAATCAATGAGAAAAGTGCATGCTACTGAAGTAGTTATTTTGCACAGTTTAGTCTTTGCATGCTGCCGGAAAGAAGTTCATTCGAAAGCCGGCATCCCGAGATAACTGAAATATTATAGAATTATGTTGCAGAATGACTAGTTTTACAACCATACTTAATTAATCTTTTCGAAACAAAAACGCATTTCGGAATTTTGGTTGACATTTCTGGAGTTAGCCCACCTACTGTATTTACAGAGTCGTCGCCCTCGAAAAAACACTGCATATATAAAATGTGTCATCTGGATCTCACATCTTCATGCTAGGAAGCACCTGGAATTTTATTATCCGAATTGATCGACCAGAAAACTTGATTTGAGTGACCAAGTCGAAAGAGAAGATTTGCACCTGATAGCGGACGATGTAAATATTCAGTGAGGGAGACAGTAATAACGTTGTCTGTGGGCTCGAGCGCTACATACATGTTAACGAGATTTCAACGCAAAACTTCCTGAGACCCCCCCCCCCCCAGTACCTGATGGATGGCCACTTTTCTTCCTGCGTGTTTTTACGGCCTCAATGGATCCTAGTGGGAGCTGTAATAAGAACCTCCCCTTCCCTTACCAATGATCGAATTTTTAACTTTAGTATTCCCTCCTACGTCTCGCATTGTCGAAGACGAACAGATTTTGTGCCGGCGAGGGCTCCTCCGAAAGTGACAAGTGCTCCAGTTTGGGGTCACTGAAGTTACCACTGTCGCCCACACTAAATACTCGTAACAATTTCTCGAGGCTTGGTACTCTACCAGGATCTGTGTTTGCCGCTAGATCAAAAGTACTACTTATCATAAAAGTCCGTGATCAACACCACCTCGATTGTCCTACGATTAATCCCTATCCGAATTTACTATCCCTGCGAACATTATTCAAAGTCACCAAGTCGCTTCCACCTTTACAGCCGAAAATATCGATCACCGCCCTCTACCCCTAGTCGCCAAACAAGCGGAGTGCAGTTGCTGAGTCATCTGATCTTTTGTCACCTGTTGGGTCAAAATAGATTATTTAACTTCTGCCAAAACATCTACTAACTAAATGAGCCTTGTAATCATCTGGTGGATTCTAGATGAATCACTTAAGAACTCCTGCTTGGGCAGTCAGTCCACTGAAAAATGATTTACTTTTCTGAACCACCAGACTGGTTCTCGAGTCTACCACTAGTCGTAACTGACTGGTGTGAATGTTGCTATCGCCGTCAACGTTCACAGCAGCCGTCAGGCGCGGGATTTGACTGTGCTGTGCGCAGACGCGTGTACTTAGAAACTGGCGACCAAACTTCGATAACTACTCCGACTGCGTGGATAAATAAATTTTTTCTCCCCAACGCTCGACTTTATCATCAACAGAAGACGTTCCTAGGAGACTTACTTTCAATTTGACTCGTGAAGTGTGCTCTTCCAAAAGCAAGGCATAGTCCGAGTTTTTCACTCTGTGTAGTTGGTTCGCTAACTAGAGCATATTTTAGGTGAAGCAGGCAATGGACAATGAACGATTAGGAATGTCAGAAAACATTTATCCTCAGACGGGATCGCACCGTTCACCTCTTGCGTTTTCATTGATCGTTCTACAACATCAGCTATGGTGGACACGCACGTCAGCTTATCAATTAATCGATATTTACGGAGCCTGTGAATACGCACGTTGCGGCTGTTCTTAATTTCTCCCAGTCCGCTTTAGCTGAAAAGGTGTTTTAGGTGGTAGACAAATGGCAGATTTCGTTAGACGTCTGACCGAACAACACATTTTGCGGGCAGAATAGCATTACCAAGAGGGAAAAGGAGACTGGAATGGGCATTTCCGGCTTATTACCCTTCGTCTGCCAGTCATACCCAAACTCGCTGTGTACAACCTATGAACTGCTAACTAACAGGTCGCGGATCGAGCCCCAGGGGTTCCACACCTTGAGGTAAGGAACGACTAGCTGACGATGGGTAATAAGCCATAAATGACCATTCTATTCTCTCTTGTCTTTGTCTATATTGCGTACACACTGTGCGGTTATTGGCAGGGCTCGAGAGAGAAAGAAAACCCAAAGGCACAGGATAACGAATGAGTTCTGTAACGTGACCGGGAAGTGTCCCTTATCACTAACGAATTGGGCCTTCTGAAAACAGTCTACTTGTCAGTACCTGAATTCACGCAGGATTTCAAAGCCGCACTTAATAATTCAGCTGTTCATTGGTAATGCGTATATTTTAAAGGAAACAAGATGGACCGACCCAAAATGGTCTGCAAAACTTCTAAGGCGCCACTTTCTGCTTCATGACATTAAAATCAAATGACTGAAATGCGACAGGTTCGGACGGAAATAGGCGAGTTCGCGGTCCACAACGGCCCCCTTTCTGTGACTTGCTAAAATATGCTAATCTTCACAGTAAGACTTCAACTTATAGGAGGATTAGTTGTCTGTTAATTTACGGTCGAACCCTCCGTACGCGTACACTTGCTGCCGCATACTGGAGCTGTTTGTGTGCCGATGAGGTCTACAAAAGTCCCCTTTGAGCAAACAGACTGTCCCCCAACAGGATGTCCTTATTGCCGAGTCACTAATGTCTGCGTGCAACTGATCTCGATGCCAGTAGCTTCTGCGGTTAGTCAGCGTATTTGTATGCCTAAATTCATGCAAAGTCAGAAACAACTCTGCCAACTGTGGTCCTTGCGCCTGATCCCACCTCCGGTTGTCCTGACCCCTTCTGCCGTCGGGCCCAGGAGGGTGAGGAAGGACAGAGAGCGAGTGCAGTAGATGCTACGCAAGTCCGCCCACCATTGTAAACTAATTCACTCGCAAGCCATGATCCTGTACCCCCACCATGCTACGAGGCACATCGTGGACATCGTCGCTCGCGATGATCGAATTGCCAGTTGTGATCCTAGGTAAGGTATCATTGAGCACCTCATTCCCCATACCTTTCAGGTGACTGATACATAGGGACGGACTGCATCGTGTGCCATTTCAGCAGTACTGTCTAGCCTTCACAAAACTATTCCAGGAAGCCTTTATAAAGTGCGGTGGATTAGTGGTTAGAGACGTTGGACTTCCAACTAACAGGTCGCGAATTCGAGCCCCAGGTGTGCCACACTTCGGGGTTGGGTATGACTGGCTGACGACGGCTAATAAGCCAGAAATGGCCATTCCAGTCTCCCTTGTCTTTGTCGGTAATAGCATTCTGCCCATATCATGCACCGCTGTACGGCTGCTGGTTGGGTTCGAGAGGGAGAGCCCGTAAGCCACAACGGAA